CCTCATGTGCCACTAGGCATAACGAGAACTGATGATGATGATATCAGTGTTGACTCACCTGCATGTCATGGCAAAATGCTGTCAAGAATCTTCACGCTTTGTCTTCCTCTGTCTCCTTTTCCGCGGATCTTGTCAGTGGTTACAACCGGTTCTAGTTTTCTATTTCTTATAACACGAGGGGAAAAAATGCCCACTATCTTTCTGATTTTTGTTATCTTCGAGCTGTCTCTTTCAAAACTGAGTTACCATATTTGGCTGCTGCCCTAATCTTTTTTTTTTAACCTCTGTAAAACATCTTCGTTCAGAGGTTATCCGAGAACCTAGATATTTACAATCTGTACTTGTCAGAAAATATCCCTTGACTTCTTATTTCGCATTTAGATAAAATTCTTGTCTTTGACATTACCATTACTTCTAGCTTCCATCATTGAAACCAAAGCCCATTTTATTACTGTCTATCAACACGGTATCTGCAGTTTTCTTTCCCTGACTTATCGCTATCAAGACGGTGCCATCAGCATAACGTAGGTTGTGTATGTTATGACCACCAACCACAATTCCTGGCATATACATAAACCATAATATTGCATACACAATAGAAAAATGTTTTTTTTGTACATTCGTATGTACATATTGTATGTTAGATAATGTTGTTGATATTGATAAATTATTATTATTAATAAATACATAAAATATACAAGGTGCAATGTGTTGTGTGTCTTAATAATGATTTCATTGAGTGGAAATATCTGAATATAAAAGCGTAGATATAAAAACAAATCCTCCCCCCCCCCCCAACAAAATGCACATGTTGTTGCAGTAGTAGAAGTAGTAGTAGTGGTAGTAGTAGTAGTAGTAGTAGTAGTAGTAGTAGTAGTAGTAGTAATAGTAGTAGTAGTAGTAGTAGTAGTAGTAGTAGTAGTAGTAGTAGTAGTAGTAGTAGTAGTAGTAGTAGTAGTAGTAGCAGCAGCAGCAGCAGCAACAGCAGTAGTCGTAGTAGCAGCAGCAGTAACAGTAGTAGTCGTAGTAGTAGCAGCAGCAGCAGTAATTAACTAAGAAACAGTATTAGTAGCAGCAGTAGGTATTCTTTCTCCATCCCTTTTCAAATATATGCTGACAATATTTGGAGAAATGCGAAAAATGATGAGGCTAGCGACAGCTTCGATCCAGCAAATAGTGACAAGGCCGACGACAGCTTCAGTCCAATCACAGTTGGATGCAAATTATCCCATAACTCTGTTATGCGAACGCTTCGTAATGCGGGGTGCCGGGTTCGATCCCAGCTGCGGGCCATGCGTCCAGAAAGCAATGGCAAACTGGACGTAAATTTGCCTAGAGAAACCACACAACAGCAAGTGGCTGCTGGGGTTGGTTCTGCAACGTCCTGTAAAAGATACGCAACTAACCTAATACAAAAATTAAGCCCCAAAAGCCAGATGAAATGCAACATTATACCCACTTCACATCAAAAGCTCTAGATTGAATTCTTCACTGTCATCCTCACTGGAACAAGTAGAAGATACAGCGTAAACCTTTTCAGATGTAACATTTTAAAACATTTTCTCAGATGGGGTAAGTCTTTGCAACATTTGTTTGATATCAATACTTCTGTTCTAATTCTTACAACGGCGTCAAGAAAATCCAATTGTATTTTGTTTCTTGCTTTTGATTTACCTGAAGTAAAAAGACAGAATCCGTTTTGCAGGTCTGACTAATCTGCATGCAGACTGATGGTTCCTTGTCTCTAAGACAGATGTATTCCGACTTCGAATGAAGCTTCAAATTAATCGACTCTTACGACATGCTTTTGGGCAGGTATTGGGTCTATTCCTGTTCTCGCCACAGTAGGGCCTCACACGGGGAACACGGGGTTTGATCCAGAGCTTCTGCTAGAGCGGACATGCATCTTTCTTTAACTTGTTTTATTTCTAACTGAGCTTCAGTCCCGTTATTTTTCTGTAGGAACACATTGCATTATGTTATGGATTTAATACCAAAAGTCAACGTGATGAATCCATTTTTTTCCCTCTCATTGACATAATATAGTCTGTTCCTAAGACTTTTCTGGTGCATGGACAAATCTTGGTGTAGTTCATGCAGATCAGCCTTTGTTTGTGAAAAAAGACTGTTCAGTCTTTCAAATTCTTGTACAACTGTTGTCTCAAACATAATAATTATTTTTGTCTAACGCCATTCCTTTAACACTCTTACTTTGTATTTTGTGTCTAACGTTGTATGGGCTCATTCAGCGCATGTGAAATAGGCTTCCAATTCTTCCCAGTTCACGGCGCGAATCACCTGAGTCCGTGTACCAGCCGTACAAGGATATCATAACCACGACAAATTGAAATAAATATGTTAATTGTAGGCCTAAGTGCTGTTAGTAAATCAGCGTATTTCTCATGGAAGAACCATGAAAAAGGTGCCAGCACTTCTTGTGTAAAAACAAAAATCAGGAAAAACACAAAACACGCCAAAATATGCCAGCTCATTATATTAAGCCAGCTTGATGTTAAATTAGCCACATTTTTTTTAATCTGACGTAGAAAATGCCAATATAGCAGCCCTGCCCACTGACACCCTTCTCCCCAAGTGTGTCGTAAAGTCGAGTAATTCGGGGTGTTTTCCTTCGAAGTCGGCGTGTATTGCCTGAGAGGCGAGTGTCACAAACCTCTGGTATGATCTTGCCGGTCCGTGGCTCGCTAACTAGGCCTATGACAGACAGACTAACCTACAACACACACTGAACCCGAACGCACACAGAGCACACACGACAATCTTTATTGGAAGTACAGGTAATACATAGACAGTTGACTTCCCGCCGTGTGGCCACCTATTGCCTGGACCCTCTGGCTGGACGGGCTTTACAATCGCCCCGTCCCCAGTACGTGCGACAGGCAATACTCTGGTGTACAAACCACAATCCGGCAGGATACGCTCTCTTCTATCGCCACGCTGACCCAATCAAACTGTCCAGTCTCTGTCCTAGTGCAGGGTCAGAGTGTCCAGGTTAGCCACTCTCTCACAGCACATATACATAAATACTCTACACAAGAACTATCCTATCCTAACACAAAACTGTACATAAACTATCCAGTCACTAACAGAAATATATCCTAACTTTAATACTATAACATAAACTATCCAGTCACTAAACGTCCTCTCTTCCTGACCGACGCACACCGAATGTCCCTTCTTCCTTCTACCTCGTGTCTCTTAACCCCGTTCACCAGCTCAGTCCCAGAAGCAGTCATCGTGTTACTAAAACACAGTTCAAGCTTTCTTGCTTTATCCTGAGCGCTGGTTTCGCCGTGCGATCACAGAACGGACTCGACCAGTGACGGCCCTGACCTCTGTGTCAACCCTGGGTGCACACCTTACGGTGTGGTACACTGACTGTACTTAATAGGGTTGTGACAGCGAGGAACCAGCAATCTGCTTACAAATAAGTCAGATTTGTAAAACGGAAAAAAGTTAATTTACGCAGTCATTTCTATTTCCTTAAATGCACACGCCATGAAAGTCACAACGTCTTTAAAGAGCTACATTGGAACTCCAGCATTTGTACCAGTCTTTTAACAAATTCGTCTTGTTTTTTTTTCATTGACATTTTGGTTTTATATTCACCAAGAAAGCCTTCCTCCGCCTTGGCCGAAGAGTCATCAAACATGATGGGCCAGTTCCAAGAGCTGTCACAAGGAATGACTTTCCGCTTGGGAAAAAATGCAGGGTTTCCTCGAGAAATGGCACCCAGACAACGCTATAGTTAATCAGCGTATCAATTCATTTGATGACAAGGTGTTTGGACACTTTCGGAACATTGAAAAAACAAAAATAGAGAACATTCCATAACTTCTTTAAAGGAAAAAAAATACAGTGTAATATGTCTTCAAATTCACCTCGGCCGTTTCTGACATTACCAGTGTACACGTTGTGGTGGTGCTGCTTCGCAGCATTCGCGAACGGAAAGTTTTAGCTTATAATAATGACTAGGTTATGTAAAAGTAAAGTAAAGTAAAGGACCCTTTCCACGCCCTTAGGCGTATAGGGCATATAGGGCTAGACCTATATTTTTATAGACCAACGGCACAAGATGGGTGATGTGGTACTAGGTTATGTGCGACACATAAAATGTCTTAGCCTTGCACGCCACCAAAAGCCATGAAAAAGACTCCTATAGTATTGATGCGATCAAAGAAGACAGACCCAAACTGTCCCTGACCGGTGATGAAGTCGTCTACTGGCGAGCCGATGGGCGAACAGGTCGCGGATGTGTTTACCTGTCTCATCCATGCCCATAACACACACACACACACACACACACAACTCTCTCTTGTTGTACCCCACTAGGACATCACACCCGGTGACACAAAGTGCCACCATGCGGATGAGGATCACCCGTGCAGATCATCCGTGGCCGTTATGGCCATATTTATGGCCCGGCTATATTCAGGGCCTCGGGGAAAAGACACGGTGGGGCTTCAAATAACGAAAAATTGCATCCCACATGGGAATGACTGTAACTATCTACACGTCACTTGCCGACGACATTTATATCACAGTCTTTAGATTGCGAACTTTCGAGGGACATCAATGTTGCTAACAAAAAGGCATTCTAGAGCATCCTTTAACATTTGCTAGTAAGCCATATTTTACACATTTGGGGAGGAAAAAAGGGGGGTGGGGGGGGGGGGGGGGGGGGGGGGTGCGTTAAACTGCCTACCAATCATCTAGTGGTCAACTGAAGACAGACTTCATTAGCATGCTAAAGGGAGTCAAACAACAATAACAATTTTCCTTTCAGGCAGTATGTCACATAAATCCACGATCTACCCTATCACAGCTTGCTGATCGGCTAGTCGATCGCGAATGACGCGTTGGCCATCCCTGATTAATACCCTACATCAGATGCTATCATAAATCAATGCAGATATGATTTAACTTGGCCCTCAGATGGGGGTGTTTCCCCATTACCATAAGAAGTTGCGGGTTTACGAATCATGGGACACTACGTGGCTGTATTTTTGTTTTACTGCTATTGTCTTATATCCTGGAACAGAGATATGTACGTCAATCGTTTGGCAACCACATGCCGTATGATTAAAACGGCAAGACTACACAGAACTTTAAAACAATAACGGGAACTATAGTTCGTTCAACAATTCATAAACACACTTGCAAGCCATTTTCTAGAAAAGGTGCCTGTTACATTGCAATGATTTTTTGCATGCAGCCTAGGATATCCATGACACAAAAGTAGTGGTATTCTTTAGTACATAGATGCACGGAATGCTGAATATCAGCCAGTTCCTTTGATCTTTTCAAACCATTGTAAATAAATAGAGTGAACTTTTAGATTTTACAAACGTCTAAATTTCCTGTTCTGTTTTTTTTTTTTTTTTTCAGAAGCGTGTCTTCATAAAAAAAAAATTGATATGTGAAATAAATTTTTTTATTGTCATTTATGTTCAATTGAGCTGAGTTGAGCTGAGTCAAGAAAGACATATCAGTACTCTAGGCATTCCCATATGCGCTCAGTCCCTATCTCCAGCAGCCAACGCAGAGTTCCAATACTAATGGTACTGGAGGCAGCCTGATTATTTGTCCATCTTGCCTTTCCTCTAAGTGTATTGTGTAGGCCAGACCTTCTGACCACACCCAGGTGTATCTTTCTCTTCAGGCCATGATAATCTATTCTCTATTCTGACTTCCTTACTAGTTCCGAAAGGGCATTGACCACATCTGCCTTTTCATGTATCAATTCAAAACCCAGCCAATCTGTCTGCTATGTTCAATTGTTAACATGTCCCCAATATGCAACCGTTATAGACTGAGAATCAGACACAATAATTCTTCTGGTAAGCCTGTCTGCTATCCACTTCAGAATTGCAGTGACTCTCCCCACTTTTATCATCACCGAAAAGACGACATTAAACCTATTGTACATTCACACACAATGACTATAGCCAGTGAAAGCTACCGAACGCAAGACACCATGACACAAATGTAAACGTAGATAGACGATGATATGATGATGCTGTGACGGTGATAAGTAAATGTGATAATAAAGACCTGAAGAAAACGACACAACAAAAATCAGTAGAGGTTATTTTATTACAAACAAATAGAAATGCCAGCCGGAAATACTGATCTCCTTGCTTTTAAGAGTTAACAAAATATGTTTGTGAACATAGCTTCAATTCAATACTGAAAAAAAAAAAAATCGGATACGAAATGTTTAAAATTCACACAGCAAGCCATTAGCAATCGTTCCGCACACCACGGGGGGCAGGCTGACCATAGCCTGCCTGCTCCTGAAGTAAACAGTTTGCTTCCGGTGTCATCAAAACAAAATGTCTCGATTTGGGGTACCCTGTCTTCACTTCCTTGTAGCGCTTGGAGGTAATATTCCGTACACAGTATTGTCAGTTATATTGTATCTGCATAAAAACTGTCACTAAGACTAGAAGTTGTTAAAACACACATTACATATAGTAAAGTTGGGCACACTAAAAGCTCAACAGTCAGATTTGTTTAAGGTTTAAGTTTTTAACGTTCATGTTCTAATTTCTATCTTCTAATCTAATCTATCAATGTAGTATCAAAATAACAACAACTGGGCCGTGGTGTGTATGTGGAGTGTGTCTGGCCATAGTCAGAAGTTCAACAAATGATTCATGATAATTCCCGCCCAGGCGATATGATTATCTATACAGATGGCTCTGTGTTGAGAGGTAGACGAAGTGCACGGAGACTCATAGCAAAAGTGATTGCAAGTCAGTGCATCAAAGTAAAAAGCCTCGTGAGCCTTGTGTATGATCACAATAAATAATACAAGTTTGAGAATGAAAGTGGAAACGGTCATATCATCATTCCGTTAGCATATTCAGAAAGGTGGAGACAGGTAGCCTGTGCAGAGTGGCTAGTATCGTTTTAGCAGTGCCAGGTAGTTACCATCCCTTAGTTGACATCTTTGGGCTCTCCTTCAAATTTCGTCCCCATATTATGGCGGCCAAACAAATACCCTAATAGGGCCTCAGTTGTGTGTAAAATGCGGACTTCCTCCGATGAACACGTCATGGCAAAACTAGGATTACTGTCGGTTGACAGTTTTGAGAAATGAAACAATACACACGATAATAGCTAAATGGTGGGGAGATCACGCGCTTCGACGCAGGTTGGTGAGTGTTCTTCTGATTAAACTTACCGCCAAGCGTATCCCCTGCACTGCTATGGGGGGGGGGGGGGGGGCTAAACTAGATGGCTGGGACTCACGAGCAGCAGCTATCGCATCTCCTGCAACTTACTCCAATTTATTTGCCTGTCAGTCCCAGCCATCTAGTTTAGCTCGCAATCCGCGCCGCACATAGCGGCGCGGGGAATACTGTCAGCGGTGCGGCATAGTTGCAGAAACAGGTCCGCATTTAACATATCACTGAGACCCTGTTAGAGTGTTTGTTTGCTCTCAAAAAAATTGGCCCATTATTTGGAGGCAATCCTAGCTTTACTGTGATTATTTCCTCGGCAGGCACTCCACAATTTGCATATGACTGAGGCCCTGTTAGGGTTTTTGTTTGGCCACCATAAAATGGGGACGAAGTTCAAAGGAGAGCCCATCTTTGAGTATTTTCTGCAGCGTATGATGGTGTGTTAGGAATTGAACAGACAGATAGATCAGATAGGCTGGTTCTGTACCTCATGTTGGTGAATGTGCTTGACAAACTGGATGTTATTAGAGCCCTTTGGGAGGGAGTAAACAGTGCAAAGGAACAAATATGTCATTGTGTTCTGACGAGAATGATGTAGGAAGGAGTGACCAGGGAATCTGGCCAACTGGGTTACTACATAATTCCACTGGCTTGAGAACCAGTTGCACAAGCATGTCCTTATTGTGTCTGACAGACATATTGAGGAAGGGGGAACAGGCATGCTTTATCATCAGTCAGGTACCGTGTCTCCACCGTGAAGGTTGGCTGCAATGGATCTCTAACATGCTCTGTCTCTTGTCCTGGTTGAACACTATCTCAGACTGATGCCCATCCATCTCTTGATGTTGTCCTGCCACATGAATCATTGCTGACCTTTTGCTCTCTAGCCTTCAACCTTTCCCTCCGGTATGGTTTTTAATGCTCTGTGCAGAGTGGTAAGCATTTCTTAAAAGGTACTGGGTAGTAGCATCCTTTGGACATTTTCTGCAGGGATGCCAGTGTTTTGGAAAATGAACAGGCAAATAGACTGGCTGGTTTTGCACCACTTGGAGAGTTGATTGGTGTATGCCAAATTAGATATGGTAAGGGCTCTTTGGTAGCGAGTAAACATTTTGGGGGCACAAATATTATCACAGTCTGAAAAGAAGGCTACAGCAAGGAGTGACTAGGGAATGTGGTCCATGCTGTGCACTTGGAGAGAGACAGTGATATGATCAAACTATTACTGGTACCATCTGAACGGGAACTCTGTGCTTGCTGTGGAAGACAGGCATGGAGCGCTTGTGGGAATACCCTGAGAGCTGTAATATCAGTTCTCAGCTCTTAATTCCTTATATTAGGGAACAAAATCAGTCATGATATTTTTAGTTAACAATTTTAATAAAATACATGTATTTATTAAATCAAAATTCAGTATTTTGAAATCACACAGTTAAGATTAACATTGGAATTAAAAATAATCCAAACCATATAAACTTATTTTATACTATTTCAGTTTTTATGACAATAATAATTGATTGCCCTTCTTCTTATAGTCCATGCTGTGTGGATTAGTAGTAATGTCTATTCACAACCCTCTTTCTTATGTACTTCAGTCAGTTCTGACACAGATGATCTTCCATGCTATGATGTCAGACTGTCCAGCATCTTCTCTCTCTCTTAGTCTCCCTCTGCCTTTCCTCCCCTCCAACTTTCCCACGGTCACGATGTGCTCCAGTTTTCTCCTACCCATGACATGACAGAAGATTGAAGATTCTTTTCTTCTGTTATGGACAATCAGTTCTTTTCAAGAGTCATTTTCTTTCAAGACATCTTCATTACTGTTTTTGTCTGTCCAGCTTATTCTCATCATTTGTCTATAAAACCACGTCTCGGCCACATAATGTTTCACTAGTTAGTTACTTAGTTAGTTAGTTGGGTTATCATCATTGCACTCCGGACATGTCCATAGGTGCTCAAATCCTCCCCTCATTATGAACCCCAACGTCCGATGTCTAATAGTACCAGTTCTATGTTGATTAACAAGTCTTCTAATGTGTGTCTCATTTTTTGATATGCCGATCTTAATCCCCAAGTCTGCCATTCTGGCGAGTGATGTGAATTGACTGCCCACAAAGTCCTCTATCCTTCCCATTTCTCTGAGGGCATTGATATTAATGTTTCACTATTCAGCTAACTGTCCATTATTAACTTACATTGATCAAGATAGGATTGATATAGCTCTTGGGAATTCTCTTTCTTGTCTCACTTGACCAATTTAAGTTCAAATGCTTCTTCCTTTGTGACATCGGAACAATGTGCATTATTAATGAATGCCACTGCTTTCTTGCCAGTGTTGACAACATCAGTCCATGCAGGCGCTGGGAATAAAGATGCTTGTGATGAATGGGCAAACATAGCACTCAAGGTTACCGGCTCAGGGAAGTTACATAAATGTGCAGCCAGGACTCCGGATTGCTCAGGGATGGATTGCTCAGGATCCACTACATTTTCAGTGAGTGTTAAGTTTTCTTTTTTGTGTGTGTGATTAGTGATAAGAAAGGATTATCATCACAGCACTCCGTACAGATCCATAGGTGCTCCGATCTCCTCCTCAAAAGCTCCACAAGTGTAAAACGACTGATGACACCTGTTCTGTGTTGGTTAATGAAACATCTTGTCCTCTTAGTGAAATGTTCATTTCTTGCAGCTCCAGGCTGCACCTCCATGTCCATCCATCTAGACAGGGAAACGGAGTCATGCCCTTTGGCGTGCTCCTTGGTACGGTAAGTGTGTGAACAAAGCAGACAAAAGCAGTAGATTGCATAGTTTATTGCCCTACTTATTTCACAGTATCTTGTCAAGTACCTACTACGAAATAAATTGGGCAGTCTGTTCTGTATTTTCTTCTTTGTTCAAATTTACAACAGGGAAACATTGATTTGGTTTGTTTCTTTGTTCTTGAAATTATACTTTGCTAAGGAAAGGGGAAAATATAAACATGAACACAATGAAAATTTACATACCTTGAGAAATAAAAGGTCCTATCAGTGGATCAGAACAGAACTAAATCAGACCATTGATGACCACTACTTACTTTGACTGGCATGGGCAGCGCATGCTTCTATGCCTCAGGACAGGGCATAACAAACTCAACCCTGTGCCCATCTGGGTTGTTTGTACAAACCACAGAACATATTCTGTAATATTGCCCTTGGAACAGCTTATTAAAAAGGGAATACTAATCAGTAGTCAACATGATACTCAAAGCTGTGTGTAACTAGAGAGCAATCTGCCCCCCCCCCTCCCGCCACCCCCCCCCCCCCCCGCCCCTTTCCCTTACCCCCCTTGCGATCAATTTGATCTTCCTGCATAGGTTCCAGGGCCAAGGTAGTTAGAATACTTTGAATATTTTCTGAAGGGGATGAAGGTGCGTTAGGAAATGAACAAGCAGACAGACTGACTGGTTCGATTTGATTCTTGGAGAACAAAAATTCCAAGCTTGTTCCTCGTTCAGCTGGCTAGACCCCCAGTTTTATTGAGGAAGATTTCTTTTTCGGTCTTATTTGCATTCCAGTTCTTTGTGGTGTGCCTTCACATCTTATTTTCCTTTTTCTTGGCCTTCCATATCTGGTGTGATGCGTGGCAAGCTAGATGTTGTCAAGGCCCTTTTGGGAGCAAGTTAACGGTGCAGAGGCACAATGATATCATCTGGCCAACACTCCATACTCAGAGGAGAAGGCACAACGGACGTACAGTCAGACTGCTACTGGTAAAGCGCTTATGGGAATGTCCATAGTGCTGTGTTTTCTATATATATATATATATATATATATATATATATATATATATATATATATATATATATATATATATATATATATATATATATATATATATATATATATATATATATATATATATATATTCATTCATTCAGTAGCATGTCCCTCGCGGAACCTTGCTGCCATAACAACCCTCCGGAAAACCTTCCTATCATGAGCAAGATGTCCTGCGTTTGATACACCCATCTGGAGATCATCTGCCACATCCTGCGTCTGATACACCCATCTGGAGATCATCTGTCACATCCTGCACCCTTCTTCATGATTGTTATGGATTCTTGGCAAAATTTGCAGAAGGTAGTTTGCCGTTGCTTTCCTCCTGAGCAGTGACTATACTAGTCGGTGGCCATAGCCATTGTCTCTACTGATGAGATCATCTGCCTATCGCCGCAGAGTGCAGACCATAACCAACAATACCTGTCGGCTGCTCTTACACTCCATCCACCACCTTCCATGGCTTCACGTAACCCTGATTGGGGGGCTAAACGGGTACTCCACCTTGCCCAAGGGTGTCCCGTAGACTAGTGGAGGAAAGGAGGCGTCTTACTTCTCCTTTGATAGGGGATACCCCTACCCCGCTAACCATGTATATATATATATATGGCACATGCCGAAATTGTATGGGTAATTGGTATCCAACTGTAGCTTTGTAATAAAAGCTTTATAAAACACTTTGGAGCTGAAATGGTGTAGAAAGATTCTCAGAATACACTGACAAAGAAAAACAGAAATACTGACTTTCCAAAAGATCTTAACCTCAATGAAGATTGACTAGTAAATAGCATTTTGTCTCAGGAGTATTTGGGCCATATTGAGCACCACTGTGGATTGTAAAATGTAACAGGATAAGGCATGATAGCAGGAAACAGGAGGGCAGGGATGAACCAGTACGAAGATGGGCACAGGATACGACACCTTGGATAGGAAAGTTGCAGGAGAGCTGGTGAGAGATCAAGATTCTTTCAGACAGACCATGAAGAGGGCCACTTTCTGCAAAGAACCTGCTGTCTGCTGATGAACATGCTCAGTAAATGAACTTCTGTTTACAAAAAATATAATCGCTTCTTTTTTATTCTCTAGCACGACAAGTATCCAGAGTTTATCCAACATGACATTGACCTCAATTATTGCTTTGGGGTACAAATTAACTCCTGCAATGATCCGTTTTCCATGGATTTTTACCTGCAACTTCCATCCAGAAATATTTCAAAGATTTACAGGATAATCGATGATGATATTATTGAATTGAAAGGTAAGTGTTTATGAGCTCTTTCGTTAGCAGACAAGTTATTTACTTTTATTCTGATATCAGAATGAGTTCAGCTTGAAAACATCCATTGTGATTCGATGTTTGTGAAACCATTTACTGGTACTGTTCTTACTATTGTTCTTTGTTCTTCATTGGTGACTCTTTTTCATAGTGTTTTTCTCATCACATTTCATATACATCCCATCACACATGTTGTAATGGTGTGTTTATGTTTTTCAAGGACAGTCTGTGTCAGGCATTGATAGCCCAAAGTTGGTACAAATCAGTGTTGCCACTTTGGATGTTTTATATCTAGATTTAGATGTTTTTCCTTGCATTTAGATGGTGTTTTTGACATTTAAATGGTAGATGTTTTTCTAGAAGTTTTTCACTTGGAGTGAATTTATCAAATCTAACCTAAGAATCAGGATGAAATTTTACCTCTTAAATGCTATCTTGACAATAAAATTTGGCCTGATAAGAGAAGGAAAAGGCTGTTTCACTTATCAGCTCCCTGATTGGGTATTAAAAGAAATTGGAAGAGCTAAAGCATATCAGAGTCATTTTGGATCTGAACCTTTAACTTCATCATCCAAGCTAAGTTTATCCAGGGGATCTTGTAAGGCAGACTTCAGTAAAGATAAGGACAATTCTATAGGGTGAGTCATCAATTGTTATGTAATTTGTGACTCTTTTCATTTGGATGTTTTTTCTAGATGTTTTCCACACAAATTTAGATATTTTTAGACTCCATTTTGGATGTTTTTTTGTCAAAGAAAAGTGGCAACACTGATACAAATAGCATATTTATCAACTGTTTTTCTGGTTTAACTTAACCTTAACTTTTTACTTAACTTATGGTAAAGTGTTATTGATGCTTGATGTGTTGTTAACATTTTTTTCTGCACAGAGCTGAACTTTTCCTTTGGACCTCTTGGGACAGCTTATCCATTATTTAACTTCCAGTTTGAACGAGAGGACACTAAAACAGTAAACCTGTCTGTAAGTGATTTTTTGTTGTTGATTTTTCTTTATTGTATTCCTCATTGTCATCTGTTGATGTTGTTGTTTGTCTGTCACAAGTGATGATCACAAGTCCTTTCATCCAGTGGTGACTGGGTTAGGTTAGGATGAAAGGATGACTTGCGCTGTGATTTTGATTTAAGTCAGGAATGTTGCGCTGTTCGCCAACCTCACTCTCTCGCCCAAGTCCGTCTAAGTCCAGTGGTAAGACGTCTGGAGATGAACTCAGGTGCAGTGGATGACCAGGGCTTCTTTGGTGCCTTGCCGTGCTCAAGGCTCTCCACAGAGTTTGCTGGTATTCGCCTTTTTGTCTGTTGAACCAAGGTGGTTTCATCAGCGCAGTCCACCGAATCCAGACTTTGCATGCTGGGTAGGCATTCCCTAACTCACTGATCAGTGTAGCTGATCGGCTACCCTCTTCTGGTTTAACCATTAGCTGATTGGCTAGCCTCTCCTGGTTTAACCATTAGCTGATCGACTACCCTCTCCTGGTTTAACCATTAGCTGATCGACTACGCTCTCCAGGTTTAACCATTAGCTGATCGACTACCCTCTCCTGGTTTAACCATTAGCTGATCGGCTACCCTCTCCTAGTTTAACCATTAGCTGATCGACTACCCTCTCCTGGTTTAACCATTAGCTGATCGACTACGCTCTCCTGGTTTAACCATTAGCTGATCGACTACCCTCTCCTGGTTTAACCATTAGCTGATCGGCTACCCTCTCCTAGTTTAACCATTAGCTGATCGACTACCCTCTTCTGGTTTAACCATTAACTGATCGGCTACCCTTTCCTGGTTTAACCAGCCTGTCAAAGCTGTTGCCCAGGGGTGGCTGCTGTCACAAGCTGACAGGCTACTAAGAGCCACAGGAGAGAGCTCAATGTCACTATTGGTCCAATGATTGGTGAACTACCCTGAAAGGTACTGTCAATTTATGACACCCCAACCTCCCCCTCCCAACATTGTCATCTAAATGATGAAAGGACACTAACACAGTAAACCTATCTGTAAGTGAATGGGCTTAATACTGTTCATCATCATCATCATGGGCATACACAACGCAAGTAGTTAGGAAGTTGGTAAAAGAAGACAGTCAAGTAGTATAACCGAAGCCAGTCAAGCATTCAGTTCAATATTCAGTTCAACATTCAGTTCAACATTCAGTTCAACATTCAGTTCAACTACTTCTAGCTGTTGATGGAGAGGGTAGCTGTCACAGGTGTGCTTGCATGGCTGGTAGAACAGTGTCTGCAGTAGTTTGTGGGGGAAGAGGTATGGACAGGGCAGACATATTGTATGAGCTGGGTTCCAGAGTTGCTGAAGATATGCCAGGAAACTCTTAGTGGTTGCAGTGAGTAGGGAGACACTGACATGGCTGCTGTATCAGAGGACAGAACACAGGTGGGTCAGACTGATGTGTTAGGATGTTGATACAGATAAGTAACAAGTAGCAGTCATCATGTAGCAGGTCCTTTTGCAGAACAATAATATAATAATAATCGAATAATTACGCCACATAACTGGGCGCGGCCAACAAAACCACATTTATTATAGTCAAAGGGAATGAAAGCTGGTTATTCTTCGCTCCATTTGTATTTAGTGATTATTTTCCTTCATGTAAAAAAAAAAAAGATTCATTTTCTGGCATTTACAGTGATTGAAAAAATTTAAAATCATTATTTTTAGCAACTTGACAATGGAGTAGTACTTTCATGTTCCCTTGTCTGCTCGGTAGTTTCTGGATTACAAAACCATTGGATTCTTTGCTGCCTCATGAACTTTCATTCCTAAGATGTCCTTGATATACCGTATTCACTGGTATTGCTGATCAAGCCCTGCCTCTTCTTCCAGTAACTGTATGTTCAGTTACTATTCTTTCTTTGACAACCTCTGTGATGAATTATAGGTATGTAGAAGATGTTCAAGTCAGCCTCCGCTACCATAAAAAGAGGTTTTCAAGTGGGACATAAATGATAGAAGTATTGAGGTAGATTCCTAGACACAAAAGGCCATGGGCGGTGTTTCTTGGAGGGGGAAAATTAGATAAGGAAGGGAAATCAATTATTGCAGATAGGGTGAGAGCTGAGAAGTGAGAAGCAGCACGTGTGATGGTAACAATGGTCCTAAAATCTCATGCTTTAATTGTGATAAGCTCTTATGAATCTGGGTCTAATAAATAATAATGAATGTCTAATACTTTAGACAGTATGATAACCAAGAGAAGATGGAAATGGCTTGGCCACGTTATGAGAATGAATTCTGATATACCTGCTCTCACATGGACACCAAGGGAAAGAGAAAACAGGGGCGCCCAAAAACAACATGGAGACGAATGATGGAAAGTGACCTGAGTGCGGCATCTTTGACATGGAAAACTGCACTGAAGATTGCACAGGATAGGAAAGCATGGAAAGTCCTCTCTGAAGCCTCATGTGCCACTAGGCATAACGAGAACTGATGTTGATGATGAATGTAGGTAGGTCTTGCTAGTAACTCTCGCCGTCACCATAGGCTGTGATTACCAAAGCACATTATAACAGTTTCATATGGAAAGGTGCCAGCGTACTGTTCTTTGGAAACCATTATGATGTTTATTATGGCCAGTTTCAGTTTCAGAGAAATTATACCATATATATAAGCTAGAGCTCCCTTATTGTTACATGCTAATAAATCTGCCAAGTTTGAGTGGATTAAAGCTGCTGCCATGTTATGGGACCATTGTGGCACTCTATAAACTGCATGTATATTTGTTCTTTTCAGTTCACCTTTAGAAAGGAAGATTGACGTTGGGTTGTAAGTGACAGCTAGGCTATAGTATCTGTATCTGTCAGGTAGAACAGAATCTAGAAAGACCCAAAAAAAAAAAAACAGGCCTGGAAAATGTTAAATTCAAAACTGACTTAAATAATATTCTTGCAGGTAACAGCTCGACTAAAAAGTTCCAAACCTTTGACAGACATTGTACTTGAAGGCTTCCACTTCACCCTGATCAATGACCAGGTCATCCCTGTGAAGCCGTGTGGGAAAATAACCCATGACTCCAGCAAAACACCTCCTGGAACATTTGCGCCAGACAAATGCCAACTGAAGCCGTTGATTCCTGCAGCCACCTTGTCTCCTTCTGTCACCGACAAACCTTCAGGTCTCTGATTCATAGTTATTATAAGTGTCCGTTATTGCAACATTTGTTGTTTTTATAATTATCTGTTTTTGAAACATTTGTTGTTGTTATTAGTATCTGTTATTTAAACATTTGTTGTTGTTATAAGTATCAGTTATTGAAACATTCATCATTAATCATCATTGTCCTGTTGTGCCATTAGAATGTCACATAGGGCTCACAGTCTATTTGCCCATCCCGTTCTGTCCTGTACAGTCAGTTCAATATCATCGATGGAATCCAGTCCAGTACCTTTGGCCTCTCTCTTCACCATTCATTTTAAGATTTCCTTTAGGCAGCTCTCGCCTTCTTAATCCCTTTATTTTCCAGATTAGTGCCTGTTTCTTGATTCTCTGCTTGTTTCATCTAAGGATGTGTCCAATATAATCCAGTCTTCTCTATTTTATCATTATTATAAATTATTTATTGAAACATTGTTAGTTATTATAAATATTTGTTTATTATGAAAACATTTATTGTTATTTAAGTTTATGTTATTGAAATATTTTTTTTCTACCTCTGCTCTTTATTCTCTATTGGAGCATATGCCCTTAACCATCTCAAACCAGGTCGTCCTGTCCTTTATTATCATATACAGCTCGGCCCATATCCTCCTTGCCTTTTTAACTTCACACTATGGTAACCTTCTCCATGTGTATGTTGGCGTGCGTTTATTTCTATGCCTTTTTGGGTTCCAGTGTAAAGTCTTTCTGGTTATATTGTTTCTCAATGTGTGAGTCTTATCCTGTGCGTCTTTTCTGGATAGTTAACTTTTAGTTTACAGGAATTCATTTAGTTCTCTCCCACATTGAAACAGTTATTGTTTCCAAGTTTCCACTACACTGTAGTAACATCTAGCATGAGAATGGAGGTGGTAACTGCAGCTCCCCCCGTGGCAAGACAACAAAATGCATACACATGTTGTAATTAAAACAGACTTTGAAAACATGCTCAGAAAGGTAAAGACAGGGATGCTTCAAGCAGAGTGGCAAGCTTCACTGGGAAGGTCATGGGTAGTAAGCATACTTTGAATTTTTTTCTCTAGGCTATGCCGGCATGATGGGTAATGAACAGGCAGACAGATAGGCTGGATCTGCACCACTGGGTGTTGAATTGATACATGACTAGGCAGATGTGGTCAAAACCCTTTGGGAAGAAGCAATGGAATAATTAGAGAACGAAGATTATTATGGCCTGGAGAGATGAGGCACCTGGGTGCAACCAGAGGGTCTGGCCAGCTTACTACACTCAGAGGAAAGGCAAGGCAGACATATAACCAGATTGTGACCGGTACCATTAGTATTGGAACTCTGTGCTGGCTGCTAAATTAGAGAGCGGAGCACACATGGGATTGCCCCGAGTGCTGTGATGTAAATTCTTGACTCAACTCAGTTCTATACTGCACTGAAAAATACTTTATACAAAGCAAACAGAAGTACCCATTCCAGAGGTCTCTTCCTTCCCTGATGTCTTGAGGCATTCCAGGAGTAGAGAAAAGAAGAAGTTCCCACTTGGACATCCTCTACTCTAATCCAGACATCCCCAGCATCTTCAGTGAGAAGTCTAGAGTAGTCTACCGATGAGACCACATTCTAAAGGTTATATGTGTCAAAAACCGACTCCCGTCATTCCACACAGCACTTTCTTTTGGGACTACAGAATGCTCCTGCACTAAGTGCAAAACATGTTCATTCTTTATCCTGACCACATTGGTCTGTCTCCTGAGAGGTTCTTTACAGATTAATGAAGCATTTACACATGAATCCTGAAATTTCATCTATGCTGTAGTCTGTAAAAGATGCAGCAGGACATATTTTGGAGATCCCAGCAGGAAGCTATTGGGTCCTGTGAACATCTTTTGGATTTTGAAAAGGAGGCATTGAAACCAGTCTGTCTCCATTTAAAGAGTTCTGACCACAGCAGCCGAGACAGTATCTCTGTCACTGCTGTAAAATCTTGCTCTGGTGATCAAACCACATGCTTCCTTTCTTTGGATAATCATTTCATTCATAGTTTACGTTTTATGAGCCCAGCAGGTATCAGTGTTCGGCATACCTTCATCTAAATAATAAACAGATTCTTACTTTTATTTCATTTTGGGTGGGGAGGGGGGGATTTCAACTGTTATTGTTATTGTGTATAGATCATTGGTATTTTTTATTCCTACTACTATTATTATCAGCCACTGGGGTGTAGCTGCTAGATGTTCGCCTGCGGGTCCAAAGGTCATGTGTTCACATGCTAACAGAACCAAACCAGGCACGCGTGTTTACGCTGTTCCCCTTTGTTAAACTTCTTGGTCACCGTTCAGTGGATTCGTTCCTTGGTTTGAACTTTACTGCAGTCACCCCTCTTTTCATCCTGCTCTGTTATTGCACATTTTTTTTGGTTATTTTAGGTTTGTGTTATTGAAACATATTTGATTATTATAATTCAAGAGTTGAAAATTTTTCTTTATTATGTTTCTTTTATGGGAACATTTTTGGTTATTACAAGTTTTTGTTATTTTAACATTTTTATTTGTTATAATTTATTTTTTAATTGAAATATTTTTTATCGTTGTAAGTTACTCTTGTAAAAGAAAACACATGCAGTTATTATTTTCTCTTATTGAAATTTAAAAAAAAATTAGTTTTCTCTTCCTGAAACAATTTTTATTGTTGTGAATTTCTCTTACTGAAACTAACGCAGGATCCCAGTCGACCTAGCCCAAATGAATGCCAGGAAATATACACAAAAGGAAAAATGGTTGATGTGACATTGTTCACGTCACAGACTATATAATCATGTATGAATCTGCCTGTTTCAGACACCCTTAACAAACCCTGTGGCCTGGAGCATCCCTGTGGTGCGAGGGAGATGTGTAATGTTGGTTCCTCAGTACCTACCTGCATCTGCAGTCCTGGTAAGTCTGTTTGACAAGTCTTTTCTTGTTACTTGTTAGCATATACTTGAATTTTTTGGTCTTGCTAGAGCATACTCAGATATGTTGGACCTGTTTGGATATTTCTGGTTATGCTCACATGTATTGCAACATTGTTCAGATATGTGTAAGCATATTTGGACATGTTGAGATATGTTTGGACATGTAGAGATTGTTTAGACATGTTGAGATATGTTTTGACATGTTGAGATGTGTTTAGACATGTTGAGATATGTTTTGACATGGTGAGATTGTTTGTTCATGTTGAGATATGTTTAGACATGCTGAGATATGTTTGTTCATGTTGAGATGTGTTTGGTCATCTTGAGATATATTTGGACATGTTGAGATATGTTTGGACATGTTGAGATATGTTTGGACATGTTGAAATGTGTTTGGTCATCTTGAGATATCTTTGGACAATTAGAGATTGTTTGGACATTTTGAAATATGTTTGGTCATGTTCAGACATGTTTGGAAATGTGTGGTTACGTTTAGATATGTAGTGAAATGTTTGAACATGTTGAAATATGTTTGTACATTTTAAGATATGCTTAAAAGGGGCCAAAATGTTAAAAATGGTGATCGTCACGGGCCAGACGCATGAGCCCCAGCGTCGAAAGATATCACTAAGATAATATCACTGCTAATGATCTGTGTGCCATTTCTTAGACCTCCACAGGCCAGATTTGGCCCGTGGGCTGCCAGTTGAATAGCCCTGTGATAGGGCATGTGTGGTTGTACTGACAGAGCCTCAAACTCACTCAAATGGCTGCATCTTTCCCATAGCCTTTCTTCCTCATCCCGAGGGTGTTTAGGGATATTGAGTCACTGTTGTGTCTACCACCAAAACCGGCACAAGACAATTACCATTTTATATACAGTCCAGAGCAAGTTATTATTCTACGCCTTAGAACAGGACACAGTCGACTTCACAGCCACATGTACACAAAATAAAAAATCGGTGAATCAGCCGTGTGCACATGTGGACTGGCACAGGAGACAATAGATCATGTCCTCCAAGACTGTCCCAAATCAAGCAAAACTTTTGACCAAGAGAAACATCAGTACAAATCAAACTTTATGGGCCGCTGAGTGAATTACAAAAGACAGTGAAGTTCATAGTAAAGACAACCTTGCAGATATAGATAATTTCTGTGATGAAGCTAAAGGAAGATGACAAACAGCTGGCTGTAATTTCACAAGAGTTAAAGCAATAGCCTATGATAATTATAAGGAATTGGAACCCTTGGTGTGTACATATGCTGGGAGATTTCATATGTAGGCTAGGAGTGAGTGAGTGTGTTACTTGCCTTATGAAACAATCAGTATGGGAAATAAGTCGTCACCAGTTTCAATATACAGGGTCATCGAGAAGGATTGCTGGATTTTTCTTCTGTTCTTATAAAAGAAATATTTTGTTAGTATACACGTACAGCGTCTTGAATGTGACCTTGTGAGGCTTAAAACGGTGCTGAGAAGATAAGGAACATCTAGTACCTTAACTTTTTCAGTTCCACAAAATCTCAGCGAAGTTGAATAATGACTACTTAGACACAAGTAATAAAGAATTCATGCATTACTTTCATGGGGGGTGGGGGGGGGGGGGGGGGTGCGCGCTTAGAACATAAAACATAGTATTATATGTAGTATTTTATTTGTATGCATTTTTTGTTGTTGTTGGTTCAAACTAGTTTGGGTCAGAGTAATAAATACAGAAGTAAAATAAAGATACTTGCCAATATGCCCCAGTACAATTTTGCAGGGAGTAAAGTTCAAATCATGCTGACTGACAGAAATTATGATTCTTACGAGGCCAGTTGTTTACCAGCAAAGTGGGGTCACTTACCGGCTGCCCATGTGTCCTAGGCGGATATGACCTAGCAGAGCTTATGAGTTTCTCATGCTTTGATGGCCTCTGTTTTTAACAAGGGTCAGACAAGAAAGACATGTTTCTGCTATTTCTGTTCTTCTTTCCAGTCTTCTGCACATCGTCTAGATCATGTCAAAAGTTACAGTTCCAATGGTCCAGCAAAGGTGCAACATTTGCACTTTTCGACCAACACATCCTTCTTCATCAGGCATTTGTTCACCAAGTTAGCCTTCCCGACTGGTTTTGTTGGACATTAAACCAACATTAAAACCATCTATTGCCATGGCAGACCAAGAAGACGATGGAGAGGTAACGTCCAGACAGACTTGCAAACACTAGATGTCACCAATGGAAAGAGAAGACCAACCAGAAAGATGAATGGAGGCGGGGGATATCTGCAGCAGTGAACCTCAAGGGCTTGGAATGCTGAAGAAGAAGAAGAAGAAGAAGAAGAAGAAGAAGAAGAAGCAGCAGCAGATTGCCATGGTGTAACAGGTGTCACTGAGGCTAGGAACATATAATGTTTGAGGGTCATCCAGTGTAGATACTACAAGACGGGACATTATTCATATGGCGAGCTTTGGTACTGGGCACACACCCAAGAAATCGTCATGTCCCGCACTTGTATGCTTACCACTCTTTTCCATATAGTGAGCATCCCACTCATCATAGGTTGTGGAAAGGCACAAATGTCACATCCCAGCTGTAAACCACAAACATGCCAGTCTCAGTTTTATATTTATTATATGATGTTTTTTTTTTAATTTACAAATTTGAAATTTCGCTATTATTATGCATAAACTCCAAGGCCGAGCCAGTTCATAAACACAACAGTAAGTGTCGATTGATTGATTGTTTGATTGATTCGGCTGAAAGATCATCTGCATTGTTGCTGAAGCTTTCTATCTCTGCTTCACCTGCATCTCCCACAATGATTGGGTTCAAAGACTGTCTCCATTGTTCATGAAGCTTTCCATCAGTATCCTTTTCCACAATGATTGGGTTGAAAGGTTATCTCCATTGTACCTGATGCTTTACACCTCTTATTTAGTATCCTTCTGCATATCCAGCAATGATTGGGTTTAACTCCATCAGGACCTGAACCAAAAATCTTCCAATCCACAGGTGAGCGTCCAACCGCTACACCACCTCCAGTATCCTTTGTTCAAATCCGCCACACACTGTTGAACATATTTCCAAGAAGATAAAGACAGAATGAATTGAAGAAAATGGTTGGAGTAGCTGAGGAAATCTCATCTGAAAGGAATTAGTTCATTCTTTGTGCTAGGATATTCTAGAGTAAGAGGGAATGAACGAGCAGATCGGCTTGCTGACAGGGCCATGGTAGGTACAGGAAAAGCAATGGACCAAGCCGACATTCTCAACGCTCTCAAGGAGGCAGAACGAGAAGGTGATTCAAGAGATACTAAATCGGCAACACTCAAAAGACTATTAGAACTTCAGGTTGAAAGAGGTGTTGGTAGCTATGAAGACTATACAGGCAGCCAAAGCAAGAATGCTAAACAACACAGAACTGATGTTATCAGTCGCCACATGCTGAGGGATATACTGAAGATGGGATCCGGGCGCTTATGGATTGTCCAATGTGGGATGAGGATAATCTGTTGTTTAACTAACTAACTAACTGGCTTACTTCAATATCCTCCTGCATATCCTACAGTTTTTGGGTTCACAGATAATTTCAACCATACCTGAAGCTCTCCTTCAGTATCCTCCTGCATGTCCCACAATATTTGAACCCAAAGATCTCCTGCCTTCTATCTTAAGCTCTCCTTCAATATCCTCCTGCATGTCCCACAATAATTGGACCCAAAGATCCCCTGCCTTCTATCTTAAGCTCTCCTTCAATATCCTCCTGCATGTCCCACAATAATTGGACACAAAGATCCCCTGCCTTCTATCTTAAGCTCTCCTTCAATATCCTCCTGCATGTCCCACAATAATTGGACCCAAAGATCCCCTGCCTTCTATCTTAAGCTCTCCTTCAATATCCTCCTGCATGTCCCACAATAATTGGACCCAAAGATCCCCTGCCTTCTATCTTAAGCTCTCCTTCCATATCCTCCTGCAGTGATTTGGTTCAAAGATAAGTGTGAATGTTCAAAGATAACTTTGAACAAAGAATACACAAACAATTGATTGCCTAGTTTATTTCTGTATCTCGTCAGGTGCATACTACAGTAACAAATAAATGAAGAAGATAATTGAATCCTTTATAGATGAAGTACTACCCTTATACTTTAGTAATAAAGGATTCAGTTATTTGCTTCATGTATTTAATTGTTACTGTAGTATGCACCTTGATGAAATACAGCAAAATATGCCAGGCAATAAATTGTGGAAAACTTCTTTGTTCCATTTACAGCAGGGAAACATAGTTTTGAATCAGAGATATTCCCATTCGGCCTGAAGCATTTCATAGAAATCCTTCTTATATCTTCCACTGTTTGGGTTGAAAGATGTCTCCATTGTACCCAAAGCTTTATGTCAGCGTTTACAGTTTATACTGTAAAGATTATTCTTTTCTTCTTCTTCACTTCCTCTTTTTCCACGAGCATCGAATAAGATTCTGCTTCCTGCTTTTCTAGCACCTTGACCATAGACATATCGAGCTTGTATAGAGTTTCTCAGATGTTATCTTTCCATTTCGTTCTTGGTCTACCTCATGCTCTACTTCCTTCTTCTCTGTTTTGTGTATACCTTACATGGCATTCTCTCTAATTAGGCAAACCATTTGATTTTAATGGTTGGGACATATTGAAAGAACGTCAGATGACAGAGAAGTAAAAACTGTATACACCAGGGAGATGAATGGTCATAGATATGGAGAGATAATATCCAGACAGACCTGCAAACACTTGGTGTCACCAACTGGAAAGAGAAGGCCAACCAGGGAGATGAATGGAGGCAGGTGATAATCTGCAGCAGTGAACCTCAAGGGCTCGGAATGCTGAAGAAGAATATTTGATTTACTCCCACTGTATGTCATTTAGAATTGGCTCGGTGCCAACTTGTTCTCTTATGCCCTCATTCCTGAGTTCGTTCATCTCTTATAGTCACTCCTGCAGCCTTTCTCAGATATCTCATTTCCGTGGTTACTAATGATTTTGTTTTGATTTACACTGTAAAACAATAGTTTTAAAGTGAATCTTGTCCCTACTGTAATTCTACTGCTATTTAATAAAAAAAAATTTTTAACAATCAACAGTTGCAATGTTTGTTGGAGGAGGTCTCGCTATTGTTATTGTTATTGGCGTTATCATTTCTGGAGTTGTCTGCTACATGAGACGACGAAGACAAAGGCCACTTTCAATCAATGACAGAGAAAGCTCGGCACCTTTGACTGGAAATTACGACTCTGATGACAATTTGATCATGTAGTCTTTGCGAGGTGAACATTCCATTGACCAGTGTTGTTTCGTGAAAAATTATTCCAGATTTAAAAAAAATTATATGTGATGTTAATTTTATTGTTGCAGAAAGTTTTCAGCTTTTATGAAAAGTTAATTGAATAGAAGAAATAATTCCAAATATATTTAATTTGCTTAAATTATAAATAAATATGAAATAATCTCATTATTTTAGAAAATTATTTAGTTCCTTCAGTCTCACATATCCAATGGGAAGAAAACAATTGTAATATTCCTTTGTGTCTCTTTTTCTTTTTAAAAAAAATGTATTTAGCTACTTATTTTGTTTGTGCTTATGTAATTTTATTTAGTATTTATTTATTTATTTGTAATCTTTATTTGTATATATTGATTGAGAATCTCAGAAAAAGAGGCTAAATACAGTGTAAGTGGCCACTAATAAAGCCAGATATTTTCAGTGTACACTGACCAGATTGAACAATTAAAAGAGGCACAAGTTGCGCTATGATTAGGATTCAAAAATAAAAAAACAGACAATGCATCACATGTTCTTCTTCACTTCCTGTTATATCTCACTGGATATCGAGGGAGATGAAAGGTTTTGGTTCTTGTGCTTCTGCCTGCCTTGAGCATAGGCAGTCCATACCACTGTAGAGTGCCTTTAATGTCTTCAAAACGTTTTCTTGGTCTACCTCTCTTCTTTTTGTATATGCCTTGTAAGATATGGCATCACAGCATTCTCTGAGTTTTTCTACCTCCAAATCCTTTTTCTGTCACTGTTGACACATAAAACATTTATATGTAATCCCTGTTGCTGTCAGTCTGCTGTTTTTCTGCCTATAGTGTCCTGTCATTCCTTTATTTTCCTTTATTATGTCCTTCTCTATGTTTTTTTTAAGACCATCCATGTCTCCTTGAATTCTGCAAACATGTCCAAACCATCTTCATCTTTTTCCTTTTATAATGTTTGCCAGCGATGAATATTGTGCTTCCCCTCTCAGTTCTTCATTTGTGATCTTGTTAGGCCAAAGTATTTGCAGGATTCTCATTAGACAATTGTTTTGAAAAGTCTATAGTTTTTGTTATTCTCTCTGTCATATTCCAACACTTGCTGTTGTAAAATAGTTTTCATAAAATGTTGATTATGCCTAATCTGAGTTTTGTCCTCAGACTAGGTCCCTCTGACCTCCATATTTTGTCATACATGGTAAATGCTTGTATACTCTAACCAGATAAACATTTTTCTTTGGTATTTGGGACTAAAAGAGTTAATTATATTTAATTTCCTTGATATTTCCTGCTAAAAATCATCATTTTAAAACAAAAATGAATGTGCACTTTTATTGTCAGATATTGTCTTGTTTTTTTTTTAAAATGTTCTATATTTGTATATTTTGATTGTGAATCTCAGAAAAAGAGTAGATTATATTACTAGGCTGATGACTGGCATGCAATTGATATGCAGGCAAATGAAGAATTCCATTGTGTATGAATGTGTTTCTGGAGATTTTAACTAAGAAATAACATAAAGTGTATCAATGGTGCTTCATAATGTTACATACATAAATAAAAGAATATATAAAGTTATATAAATAAATAAATAATATTTTGTAAATAAATAAATAAATACTAAATAACATTACATAAACACATACAAAATGAGTAGCTAAAAAAAAAAAAAAAAACTCACCTAAATTAGAAAATAAAAAAACACCCGCCTGCATAACATTTTAATGGGGTTAAAAAATTTACATTGTAGCACCCAGGACATTTCTGTAAGGGATGCATCTTCAGCAGCCACACAGAGTTGTAATATTAATGGTAACAATAGCAGTCTGAAAGTAAGTCCATCTTGCCTTTCCTCTGGGTTTTGAGTGTCGACCACACCCCTGGTTACCCCTGGCTTCACCATTCTCTCCACACCATAATGATCTGTTATCACTTCTACACTTTCAGTCTCGCTCCTGAAGAGCCTTGACTACAGCTAGCTTGTCATACATATAGTTACTGCCAAGTCTTACAGAACCAGCCAGTCTTTCTGGCAATTTTTTTCGTAACACACCTGCATAATATAAATATCTTAAAAGGCGGTAACTGAAGAGCAGGACCTTTGAAGCAATGCTTGCCACACTGCATGAGATATAGGAAATCAGTTTACATTGTAGGTATAATTGAAAAATACAAAAATAAATGTACATGAAATAACAAAACATTACATGAATACTTAGGAAATGACAAAATTATATATCTTCTTCTTCTTCAGCATTCCGAGCCCTTGAGGTTCATTGCTGCATCTCTCTGGTTGGCCTTTTCTTTTCAGTTAGTGACACCAAGTGCTCGCAGGTCATTCTGGACATTATTTCTCTATCGTCTTCTTGGTCTGCATTGTGGTCTGAGACCATTCATCTCCCTCGTGTATACAGTTTTTACTTCTCTATCATTTGAAATTCTTTTTTATTATGCTCAACCAGATCAGTCTGTTAGCTCCCCTGATCCCAGTGGTTATCTAAACAGATTATGAATTTCGTTATTGCTTCTCACTCTCCATTCCCCGCTGTTTGCATCTTTGATGGGTCCAAAGATTTTTCTTAAGACTCTGTTTTCAAAAATCTGTAATGAGGCTTCATCTCTTTTAGTTGTGCTCCAAGTTTCAGAGCCATATAAAACGACTGGTCTTATCAACAGTTTAAAAACTTTGATCTTGATGTTGCGAGACAGACACAGATAGGGCATAGTATACTTTATTTCCAGATTGTAAAAATATATATATTTATCTCTCTCTCTCTCTCTCTCTCTCTCTCTCTCTCTCTCTCTCTCTCTCTCTCTCTCTCTCTCTCTCTCTCTCTCTCTCTCTCTCTCTCTGTGTGTGTGTGTGTGTGTGTGTGTGTGTGTGTGTGTGTGTGTGTGTGTGTGTGTGTGTGTGTGTGTGTGTGTGTGTGTGTGTGTGTGTGTGTGTGTGTGTGTGTGTGTGTGTGTGTGTGTGTGTGTGTGTGTGTGTGTGTGTGTGTGTGTGTGTGTGTGTGTGTGTGTGTGTGTGTGTGTGTGTGTGTGTGTGTGTGTGTGTGTGCGCGCGCGCGCGGTGCGTGCGTGCGTGCGTGCGTGCGTGCGTGCGTGCGTGCGTGCGTGCGTGCGTTGTGCGTGAGAGAGAGAGAGAGAGAGAGAGAGAGAGAGAGAGAGAGAGAGAGAGAGAGAGAGAGAGAGAGAGAGAGAGAGAGAGTCCTGTCCTGTCCTGTCTGTCTGTATATATATATATATATATATATATATATATATATATATATATATATATATATATATATATATATATATATATATATATATATATATATATATATATATATATATATAAATATATATATATATATATATATATAAAATAAATAACACGGCTAGACATTTTCTTTTAACCCTATGTTTTGTTTCTAAGATTTTTTCTGTTGATGATCTTAATATTTTTTATACAACAGCTTTCTATTGCCCAATTTCTTTCATTTTTGTATCTGTTGTGGGGAATCTCAAAATGGGACCATAAGGATGAAATGATGCAGTTTTATTAAGATATACTGTTTACTGTGTGGGATCCAGTCTGATCAAGTTTACTTCTAAAGGTCTCTGAGTCTGAGTTAGTGCACTGTTGTTAGGTTTATTGTCATTGTTTTTTTGTTTTAACAAAAGGATTTTTCTTTCTTTCTTTCTTTCTTTCTTTCTTTCTTTCTTTCTTTCTTTCTTTCTTTCTTTCTTTCTTTCTTTCTTTCTTTCTTTCTTTCTTTCTTTCTTTCTTTCTTTCTTTCTTTCTTTCTTTCTTTCTTTCTTTCTTTCTTTCTTCCTTTCTTTCTTTCTTTCTTTCTTTCTTTCTTTCTTTCTTTCTTTCTTTCTTTCTTTTGTTTCATTATTTTGCTTTTCTTTTTTCTTTCTCTCTTTCCTAATTTTTGTTGTTGTTTGCTTTCTTTATTCTTGGTGTCTTTCTTTTCTTCCTCACCTCCTCTTCCTCCTCCTTTACACTATTCTCTTTTTCTCCAACTTCTTCTTCCCTGACCTTCTTCTTCGCCCCCTCCCCCACCTTCTTATTCGCCTCCTCCGCCACCTTCTTCTTCTGTTTCCTCCTCCTCCTCTTCTCATCTGCTCATATTTAATTTACACTGTCCTGACTTCAGACTACCACAACTACTCGCCGTAAAGGTTTTGAGGCAAAGAGGTCCACTGCCCCATTAACAAGCTTTTCATAATACTATTTACACTTTTCCAAAATTGAACACATATCACAGCTTAGCTGTAAACTACAACACACAACATGCCTACCACTCTCTTTAGAGAAAACCCAGAAGAAGAAGAGTAAGTAGTACCACAACTGCAAATTCTTCCACAATTTCATATTCTACCATAACTTCAAATTCTACAACAACTTCAGTCACTAACACAACTTCAGTCACTAACACAACTTCAGTCACTAACACAATTTCAGTCACTAACACAACTTCAGTCACTATCACAACTTCAGTCACTATTACAACTTCAGTCACTGTCACAACTTCAGTCACTAACACAACTTCAGTCACTAACACAACTTCAGTCACTGTCACAACTTCAGTCACTAACACAACTTCAGTCACTGTCACAACTTCAGTCACTAACACAACTTCAGTCACTGTCACAACTATAAACACTATCATGTGTACAAAAATAACCCATTCTGTTTCAGTAATTGTGTCAAATGTCATTTGCTTGGAAAATCTGTACACACAGATTTTATATGTTTCTATTTTAAATACACTTGTTTCATGCTGCCATTTTGTCATTTCAAATGTTTCAGCGATGCAAACTGGCAGTAAAGAAATGACCCTGTCTTTCATTATTCATTGTGCAGATCTGAATTTAATGCCACATTGCCTTTTTAGTTTAGGGTTGTCTTTTCAAAATTTGTGTCAGTACGCATGTGATTATGTGTTTAAAAATATTAGATTTTTTTGAAAACAATCCTCACTCAAAAAAATGTAATGTCTGCACTTTTAT